AGGAGCAAAAACAACAGCGAGAAAGGCTGCATCCTCGGTCAGAAAAATCACCCAGGGACTAAACACAGTATCACTGAAATTGAGCTGTTTAATCTTCAAATATCATTCTTACAAAGACCAGAATTGAAAGCTATATGGCTTTAACAGGACCATAGGAAGTTTTTTTCTGAAGTAACTACTAGTAGCTCTGGCCGGGTAAGTCAGTCGGTTAGAGGATCATCCCAATGCACCAAGGTTCTGGGTTCAATCCCCAGTCAGGGCACATGCAAGTGTCAACCAATGAATGCATAAATAAGTGGAAAAACAATAAATGTTTTTCTCTCTCCTTTCCTGCTTGTCTAAAATCAATAAAAATAAATGTTTACAAAGAAAAAAAACTACTACCTTATTCCTAAAGTCTGACTCTTATCCCTAGCTTATTCCTGAAGAATCTTTCCCCAACTCCTTCAAAACTAAGATGACTTCTGGTGTTTCAAAGAGAAGCTGACCTCTTTTTGGCAAGGACTATAATTCCTGGCAGCCAAGACATGGAATAGACATGACATTGTCATTGTAAGTCACTGGTCTACTTTGTTGCCAGAACACAGGAATCTCCCAGAGAAAATAAAGCTAAGGACAGGAACAAGAGACAGGACAAGTGCTACCCCTTCAAATTCTAACAATAACCACAACAGACTGGATTTAACAAAGGAGAAAGATCAAATTTTTCTGACTGAGGAGTGGTGTGAAAAACAAGGAAAGTCTAAGAAAGTACTGAACTGGCCTGAACTCCGTCATTCTTTCAGCAACTATTTGCCTACTCTGTGCCAAGTCTATTCTAGGCACTGGGGATATAGCAATCAACAAGGCAACTCCCCTGGCCTCCTGAAGCTTACTTTCTAGCCCAGAGAACAAAACAACAATAAAAGCCAAGTGAACAAATATGCAGAAGACTGGTGGTAATGCCTGGGTCAGGGCCTTCTTGCAAAGAAAGCAGTGAAGGAGAGAGTAATACAAGAATAAAGCAAGGGCCAGATTTTGAATGACTTTGTAAGCCTCCACAGAGAAGCCAAAGAACTTATACGCATGACCCATAGCCATGAACTAAGTTGGGGAATTGCTGAAAGGAATGGGGGTACCAGGCAGAGGAGGGCAAAGGGAGAAAAACTGGACAACTGTAATAGCATAATCAATAAAATATATGTATTTTTTAAGAGTTTGGACTTTAGCCCTGGCTGGCATAGCTCAGTGGATTGAGCGTGGGCTGCGAACCAAAGTGTCGCAGGTTCGATTCCCAGTCAGGGCAAATGCCTGGGTTGCAGGTCATGACCCCCAGCAACTGCACATTGATGTTTCTCTCTCTCTCTTTCTCCCTCCCTTCCCTCTCTCAAAAAATAAATAAATAAAATATTTTTTAAAAATTAAAAAAAAAGTTTGGACTTTATTCTAAGTGAAAGCACACATCACAGGCGGATTTTAAAAATGGGTAACAGCCCTGGCTGGTGTGGCTCAGTGGACTGAATGCCAGCCTGCGAACCAAATGGTCGCCAGTTTGATTCCCAGTTAAAACATATGCCTGGGTTGCAGGCCAAGTCCCCAGTTGGGGGTGATGAGAAGTGACCAATTTGTGTTCCTCTCACAAATCTGTGTTTCTCCCCCTCTTTTTCTCTCTCCCTTCCCCTCCCTCTAAAAATACATAAATAAACTCTTAAAAAAATATGGGTAACAAGATCTGAAATACTTTTTAAAGATGACACTGACTACTACATGGAGAAAGGACAAAATTAGAAGCAGGGAGACCAGTTAAGGAGATATTACAAAAGCCTAGGTCACCCTGAACTAGTTTGGCAAAGGTTCCAGTTGATAAACTAATTGGGTAAGAGCTACCAGAAACATTTAAAAGGAGGATAACAGTTCTACTTTCCTACTGAATCTAACCGGTAGAAAACAACTGTATCTCAATTTCATTTAAAAATAACACCTCACTAAACTAAAACTATCTTATGTGCTTTCAATGTAGGTAATAAGGCTCGTGCTAATTTTATGGTAACAAGGACATTTGTTAAGGATTCTAATGCAAACCTGGTTAAATACAAATTTTGGTCAACAAATTTGCCCATGAAAACCTATAACCTGAAGAACTAAGTTTGGCGTGGTAACATTTTTAAAGATTGTTAAAATTTTATTTTGGCTCTGGCTAGTATAGCTCAGTGGACTGAGTGTGGGCTGTGAACCAAAGGGTCACCAGTTCGATTCCCAGTCAGGGCATATGCCTGGGTTGCTGACCAAGTCCCCAGTAGGGGGTATGTGAGAGGCAACTACACAGTGATGTTTTTCTCCCTCTCTTTCTCCCTCCCTTCCCCTCTCTCTAAAAATAAATAAATAAAATCTTCATAAGAAATTTCACTTTAAGGATAGTAATTTTTTTTGGCCTACATGATATTCAATACGCTCAATTAAGATAAGGTGAAGATGATATTTAAAACACTTTGGCTTTCTCTGCAAATAAACACCTAAAAATTTACAGACAGCCTAACTTCTCTGATTTAATTGCTAAATAAATATCAAGCAATTAGTTAGCAGTAAAGCCTGGATGGGTCAGAATCCAGATTCTAGATGGGCATAAAAAAGGCCCATTTCACCTTCAGAGGACAGTGTAAGTTTAGCAACAGAATGTTGAAACTATTCACAACTATTTTGGGCTTTGATGAATGAAGCTGCTGTTCTGTGGCTTCAGGGACAGACACTAATAGCAATAAAATGCACTGAAGTGATAGAGAAGAAATACGGTTTACAACAATACCAGAGATGATGTCCCTCTTCCTTTATTTTTTTCCCATTCTCCTTAGTTAACATCTTAAAACTACAACTGAATTACTACTTTTTCCTAAAGAAGTGGTTTTCTGACAAATCTGCATTAGCAGACCAGCATTATTTAAAATAGCCTTAGTCACACTTAGAGTTACCTAGCATTTAAAAATGCTACAGTTAGGATAACAGCTGCCAAATATTTACATTAAATCTCAAAAAGTAATGCTTCAAACACCCCCCCCATGCCATCCATTAACATAGCTAATTACAAAGACATATATCAAATAAGTGTAACTCTTCCTGGTATTTTTAAATGTAAAAATAAATTACATATATGGTAGCTGGCCTAAAGTTTCTGGTACCACCCTTTCTAAGAAAACTGTCCTTCTCAAAACCTAAGGCTTTCTCTAGAGTCAAGTTTCTCCCTCTGATCAAACTCTTGCATGTGTACTTTTATCAACTCTTTTGTTTTCATTTCTGCAGAACACAGCCTGTAATTTTTCTAATAAGTCTTTAATTCTTTTACGTATTTCTAAATAAATAATGCTATTAACATTTTAACTTAAATGACCTAAGGCTGACAATATCTTATACATGTATAGCATTTTTATTAGGTGTTTTACAAAAAAATGATTATACATAATTGCCTCCTATATTTAAAACTCATGAAACATTGCATTTCAGCTTTTCAAAAATTAGCATTAAAAATGACTAAACTGGGGGGAGGGGATGGGAGGGGACTAAATGGTAATGGAACTATATATATAATAAAGACTTTATATATAAAAAAGTTACTAAACTATAAAGCCATTTTATGATACAATTAAAGACCAGTTTTTTAATCAGATCATCTGCTCACTTTTCCTACCCTGCTTTTCCAAATGCACCTGTATGAATCATGTTAAATAACACCTTCCTGAACTTTGTCAAGGAAGTCCATGCAAAATACAGATAAAGATATAGTTATAAATAAAGACTAAAATTCACAACTGCGAATCAAAAAGCAAACTGGCTAAGTTTACTTCTAACTCCTGATTCTAAAGGAAGACTGCTCCAAACAACAGGTGAACAGAGATTTCAATGACCATCAAACAACACTACACGAGAGGGCAAGTATGCGTTAGTTTTCTTCCTTGGGAGTGGATCACAGTAGCCCGGAGGGGCTACTCTAGAATGGAACGGGTTTAGAATAGAATGCTTCAAAACAGCAATGGCAGAGCATTAACTAAATGTACTTGAAAACAAACAATCCCGTCCTGCCAGTGCACTTTCTTATTTTAGTCCTACCAATTGAGTCATGTAACTTGCACAGTGATACCAAGAAGTTTGTTCAGTCCCCAAGGCAGTGAACAGAAGGCATTTCTCCTTTATTATATCTTCACAAGGTGACATCTCTAAGGGGTCTCGTGCGTATGCGTGTATGTTGGGTCTCATGTGTGCCTGTTGTTATTTATAAGTTAATCACCAAGGAGCTATGAAATAATGCTTAAAACGAGGGGGGAAAGTAGGTTTTAGGGTAACAATAATTCTCTCAATTGTAGGACCTTTCCCAGATAATTATTCATTCATTGAATACTTTTATAACTTCAAGTTGAGAGTAAAATAATGAGGAATTATTGAGTGTACCAGGAGTTATTCCAATGCAAAGTACAAGTATCATTAAAAACTCTGTATATCTTCATGCCAATGCTTAGAAGACAGCGCTCAAAAAAAAAGGAAAAGAAAAGGCAGAAACCTGACCTTGCCCACAAGTCGACAGTCCTGCACCCCTCCCCCTAGCTTTCCCGGGAGCCGGTTCACGCCATCCCATTGGTTAGTGTGCCCGTTCCGGCACCTGCCTTTGCAGTGACAAGGGAATCTCCACCGAAGGCGAGAGAGTCTGGAAGGAGGCGGCCTCAGAGACGCTGAGGCCCAGAAGGAGAGGATTTGAAGAGGAAAAGAGGGAGAGGAGCTTAGAAGGGATGAGGCCGGGCGGGCAGAGACTAAGGAGGACACGGCTTGGGAGGCCGACTTGGGGACAGGAGAGGGAGGCGTTAGGAGGGCCCAGGTGAGGTAGGAGGCTGACGGCCGCCTGCAGAGTTAAGGGGCTTGGCGCATTGGGGGCGCGGATGGAGGAGAGTGGGGTGACGGGGGACGAAGAGGCCCGGGGCAGCAGGGGCAGGATGGCAGGGGCTGCGGTGGCCGCCGCCAGCTCCGGTGCGCGGACTCACGTTCTCCCACCAGCAGGATCCGCACGTCTTTCTTCATGTCGGCGGCTCGTCTGGGCCGGGTTCCGCCCGCATGCATGGAGCGGACTCCTCTTGCCGGGAGCGCCCACCCCAAGACACCGCTCTCCCCGCGCAGCCGGCACTGCCTGCCAGCCTCCCCAGCCGCCCCGCCCGAGCCTCCGCCACCCGAGGGCCGCCGCACCGCCTACTCCACTGCAAACCCACTCGGAGCCGGGACAGAGCCAGCTCCACCTCCTCCGGCTCCGCGGGCGGCGGCGGCCGGGTCGACGGGGCGCCGCGAGGGACAAGGACTTTCAGAACGCGAACGCCCTTCTGACTTAAGCAGCGCCCCTGCAGTCAGGCTAGCGCAGCGCAGAGGGCAGGAACCTCCCCTCCCCTCCTCCGGGCACAGTTGCTAGCGTGACGTTTTGAGAAGAGAATTTGAAACTACGAAGTCATATTCCAGGATGGATGCAAATAACATGGGTGGAAATGTGAGATTCAGGAGGCTTGATGACATGATTTTTCAGGGAAAAGTATTCCTCCAAATTGTAGTATTATAAATGTTTGAGTTGGAATGACCCTTACAGAGCACCTACCTATTCAAATCCCATTACAATGTAGGTAAGACAAGCGAAGCCCACAGTGGACTAAAGCCCAAAGGCAGTACAGCTTAGATGGAGCCTTGGCTCTGTCATTCCCAGTGCGCGACTCTGGGCAAGTCACATCACCTCTGTGTGCCTCAGTTTCCTCTCCACCAAATGAAGTCTTTAATCTCTTCCTAACCTACCTCATGAAGTTCTTTGGAGGATCCCATGAAATAATGTATATGAAAAGGTTTTACTTAAAAAAATCATACACATATCAAATCACAAGAGACAAAGTCCTTTTACAGTGGAGCAAATTCTTTAGGGCCCTGTTCAGCCCAAGCAATACTTTGAAGAGAATCTGGACCCCAGGAGCTTTGCATCAGCATTGCCTTTGGATGACAACATTAATTACATGGGGCTTCCCCAAGAGTGTGAGAAGAAGCAGGCCTTTGTGGTGTTATACATGTGTGCTGGGCAAAGACTTTGACAAGGAGAAATGTCTGGAAGACCAGAGACTAGAAAAAAAGAGTTTATTTGGAGGGAGCATTGCAGAGATAATGTTGTGAACTCCTTTGTAAATAAATTTTACTTAAAAATACAGACTCAAGGGCTGTAAAAAGGAAACAGCAAGCACTTACAGCAGGCAACAGCCAATGGTTTGGTACAAACAGAGGCCAACACTCACTAGAGTGGGAGGGGAGTATCCAATATGCCAGAGTGCGCCTCCCAGGCAATACAAGTTTCTTTGTACAGCCCCTCTCCATCTCCTGATCAGCTATATTTCTGAACCTGTAACCTCCTCCTTTGAGCTTTATGTCTTTCTCATATGATAACAGACATCCATCAAGGGTCACTATGAAATTTTCCTAGTGATTTCTTTACTTCCTAACAGCAAGGACTCCGGGTTCAGCCTGCCTAGGTCTGCAGAAGCTCAGCTTTGTCAGTTACTAGCTATATATCATCAGCCAAATTGTTTAACTTTTCTGTAGCTTCAGCTGCCAAATAAGAATAATACCTCACAAAGTTGTTATGAAGACTAAATGAGTTAATGTAATAGGAAAACATATAATAGGAAAGAGTGACTATTTCCTATTAGTGATTACATAAATGTTGGGAAAATATAATGTGAGGGAAGAGATTTCTACACACCTCTGAGCCTAAGAATAGAGCCACATGATGACACATACTGCAGCAAAACATAAGCCTGAGGATGGAGTCACTGGCAGTGGGATTTACTGTTGGGATATTACAGATTGATTTCTGTATATCAAGTCTGTTGGATAAAGCTAAGAGAACAGATTGGTATCCAAAAGGCACTGATGGAATTTTCCTCTAGGATGCTACTAGGAAGGAGCTCCATCATCACCAGGCAGGCTTCATGCCTCCTCAACTACGCAGGGGACGCAGGGAGGTCTGAACAAAGTACTTTTGCCAGGAGATGAGAGGATCTGTCCTTTATGTGCGTCAAAGGAAGAACTTGCAACACAGCCACTCTCTGAATCTCAGCCCAGTGGAACACCCAGGGCCAGTGAGCAGGCCTGCTGGGTAGAAAATACATGTTTATTAAATGACTGACATTGGGAGGAACAAGAGGCTGGCCTCTGACTGGTGAGTTAGACACAGTTCTGGGAAGGAGGCCAAATTAGACTTGGGTTGGCATCAGCCCCACCTGTCAGATCCATCTATCTTTGGTCTCTCAAGTTAAACTGAAAGCAATATCCATCATCTGCCCATTCTTCACTTTTGTCCTCCCATTCTTCCAGGAAGGCTTTCTTTTCCTGCCAAGCCCGCTCTAGTGGAGTAGAAAAGTTCAGCACTTTGATACAAGGTAACTATTTTATCTTGCCTTTTAATGCATTTGTTCTTGGGTCATTGTTCAAACATCCATGTCCTCTGCATAAGTCACATGGACTAGCCTCTAGAGGACACAGATTCTGTTTGCTTGATTTGGCTGGAAGGTACATCACTCAGCACAATTACTTATTAAAAGGCATTTGATTATAGCTAACTCTGTTGAAAGGAAATTTTTCCAAACAAGATTCTCATCTATTGATGAGGTTGTATACAGTTTTGTTTTTCATTTTCTCAATATAGGATTCAGATACAGCTTGTAAAACAAATGCCCTCAATTAGGAGGTAATTGATATTGAGAAGACTCTCAGGCCATCCTCCTCCCAAGTGGCCTGAACTCCCTTATTGGAATGGTTAAGGGCACAGGCTCTGGAGTCCTTGTTTCATCTCTAATACTTTGCTAGCTGTGCAACATTAAGCAAATTATGTAACTCCTTTGAAAAACCTTAACTTCATCAGCAAAATGGAACTATAGTATAGGCATTTTCTGAGAATGAAATAAAATAATGCAGGTAAAGCATTTATCACATTGCTCAATACGTACATCATGCTCACATATCACCCATAACAGCTACTTTTTAAAATTTGGAATTAATTTATTGACCTGCATTATCTTTCCAAAGGAAAATTGATTAGCCTGCCCACCCAAATTAAAAACCCTGAAAGGCAAAAATGCATTTAATGTAATTTTTAATCACCATAGAGACATTAAAATTTTTGCTGAGTTATAAACCAACCAGTGATTCTCAAAAATGTTTAGGCCACAGGTTATTTCTACAAAATAAAAAATTCCATAGAATATAGTAAATCTATCATTTCTGTTTATCTCTGCAAAGAAATCACTACAATTAAATATATTCTAAGAAAATAATTCAAAAGAAGAAATATATATACCTATACATGTTCTATTTATAGCAACTTTATACAATGGTTTAAAAATGAACAAAAATACAATTAAAAGGGAATAGTTAAATTAAGTATGACAAAATAATTGGAACTTTTGCAGTCATTGAAACTAATGGCTATTAAAGATATGGAAAAGAACTTACAAAACAAGTGAAAAATAGAAATATAAAACCATAGCTATAATTACTATATAAAAATTAAGTATATGTTCATTTGTGTAACTCTTACCTTCTATACTTGGCAATTTTGAACTTTTACAAGCATACACATGTGTTAATTGGTTAATTAAAAACTAAGGAATGTATGCCTTGGCTGGTGTGGCTCAGTGGATTGAGTGCCAGACTGCAAACCAAAGGGTTGCAGGTTTGATTCCCAGTCAGGGCACATGCCTGGGTTGTGGGCCAGGTCCCCAGTAGGGGGCACGTGGGAAGCAACTACACACTAATGTTTCTCTTCCTCTCCTTCTCCCTCCTTTCCCCTCTCTCTAAAAATAAATAAAATTAAAAAAAACCCTAATGGATGAACAGAAATATCAGAGGAAAATACAAAGAAAAATGTTAAAGATTATGAATTAATTTTTAGTACAAGCATCTTTTGTATAATGTCAAAGTGAATTTCATAATTACATTTTTAAGTAAAATTAATAGAAATATTTAAAAGAATAGCAATGCTATAAGTAAGACATTAAAGTAGGATGTCCCGTGTAAGTCACTGAACGAATATTTGCTGCTTTCACGCGTGAGGCTCTGTGCCAGGTGCGAGGGACACAGCAGTTCGTCTTTTGGGATCCATCCATCTTCTCACCAGAACCCTCTGAATTGTTGCCTATGTACCTAAACCTCCCCTTTCAGAAACGTTCCGTAAGAGGTGGCATCTCATAGTCTAAATCTCTCTATCTCCTCTGTCCCCACCCCACCCCTAGCTAAAACCAGACACACTTGTGTGACTGTCCCATTCCTTCTGCTCTCCCTGCATGGCTGTGTTCACAGATGACCTCCCACACAACACAATTCCATACCCCATGCAAATATCCCCCAGAAAGCGCCTAGGAAAATGACCATGGTTTTAGCCCGAGTGGCCTGACTGTGTGTTAGCGGGTCAGCTTTGGTCTGGTGTAAGCTCGTTGTGCACTATTTTCAATGAGCAAGGGGGAAGACACTCCAGGCCAAGCGAACCGGGCCAAGCAAAAGTTCATGATATGATACCAAGCAGGGTGGCTGGGGTGGACAGTGGATGGAGGAGGATGATGGAAAGGGGCTGAATTTGGTAAGAGTAGAGGGAGGAGTGGAACTTTCTGCTGCAGGCACTGGGAGCACTGGGGAAGTTTAAGCAGAGGAACAACGAGATCTGATTTGTTTTGGAAAGCTGGCACTAGCAGAATGAGATTAGATGGGAAGGGGGATCTGACTGGAGTAAGACAGGCTCAAATTAAAATAACCCAGTGGAGCCCTGGCTGGTGTGGCTCAGTGGATTCAGTCTTGCCCTGTGATCTAAAGGGTCACCAGTTTGATTCCTGGTGAGGACACATGCCTGGGTTGTGGGCCACGTCCCCATTTGCGGGTGAACAATAGGCATCTAATCAATGGTTCTCTCCCTTTCTTTCTCCCTCCCTTCCCTTCTCTCTAAAAATAACATTTTTAGAGAAAGGGAGGGAGAAAGAGGAGAGAAACATCAGTGTGTGGTTGCCTCTCATGCGTCCCCAGCTGGGGACCTGGCCTGCAACCGGGGCCTGTGCCCTGACTGGTAATCGAACCAGCAACCCTTTGTTTTGCAGGCCGGCATTCAATCCACTGAGCTACACCAGTCACGGCCAAAAAAGTAAATAAGTAAAATCTTTTAAAAAACAAAATAATCTAGCAGAGAAGTGATGAGAGTCTGAACCACAGTGCAGACACAAAGGGAAGAGGGACTGGCTTTGAGATGACTGGAGACAGCAGAATGCAGTCAGAAGTTGGTGGCCAACAGCACAGAACATGGTGAGAGAAAGGACCCTTTGCTAACTCCCGGACACCCTGCCCTGGAGATGGTCACTGATGGAAGCCCTAAAGGTTTTCTTCCCCGGGGAGGATTTACTATGAAAAACAAAGGTGAAAGCATTTCGCTGTGCAGGAACGGAAGACACAGTCTTCAGTGTTTCACCAGACCAATCTCTTAGAATCCTGGTTCCTGAAGTGGTGGAATAAGAGATGAGTGTAAATGGTGTGGGGACATCAGAAACGGGGACTCTTATGCCAGAGAGTGTTTCCCTTTTCTATTGTTTCCATCCTGATTAAGTCAGGGTAAAGTTTCAGTACATCTTTAACACTTGATAATCTCCTTTTGAGAGAGAGAGAGAGAGAGAGAGAGAGAGAGAGAGAGAGAGAGAGAGAGATCCATCCTGAGCAAGCCTCAGGTTCAGAGCCTTAGGCAGATGACAGTATCAAGCTAGTCAGCTTGTTTCATTTCCTGGAAACATACATATCAAGTTACCCCTCTGTTTAAGACACAGGATTCTGGTTTCCACTTACATAAAAATTTTAAAGTTTTCTTTTGAAATAAATGTACCTGGGGTGGGAGGGGGAGTGAGTTGGTTTAGGATAAAATATTAAGGAAAAAATGGCACAGGACATAAACAGACGTCACGGGAATCGTGGCGCGTGAAGACTGAAGCTTGAGAAAGCCTGTCCTAAAGAAACCTGTGGCTCATTAGGAAGGTGAATCCCAGATTAAAAACGAACCTTCAGCATTAACCTAAATATAACTCAAGAACGATCCTGCAGTCCTATAAAAGGAGAAGAAAATCGAGCCGCGATTAGGGTTCTGAGCAATTACGAACGCGAACGCGGATGAATTTGGGGCTTGGGGCTGAGGGCTCAGCAGCAGTGGGTGATGACAGAACTGAGCACACACCAGGGAAGAGTCTCTTTTTCCTGTCAAAGGTCTCAGGCGCACCTGGGGAAGGGACTTCTCCCTCCACCCGAGTGAGAGGGCCAGAGACGTCTCCCAGAGAGCACTGCGGTTCTGTGTTATGGTTTGTTTCTGTAATCAGCTAGGAGACAAAGACTTCAAATAAGCTCTTCCAGAAAAAAAAATTATTTGAAGAGAAGCAAGGGACAGATAGATGTAACTGTCTTAGAGTTTGTTGTGAGCTTAAGAAGGTGGAGGCTGTCTTGGCCGAGTAGCTCAGTTAATTAGAGCATCAACCCAATACACCAAGGTGTGGGTTCCACCTGTGGCCAGAACACAAACAAGAAGCAATCAGTGGATGCATAAATAAGTGGAACAACAAATCGATGCTTCTCTTTCTCTCTCACTTTCTCTCTCTCCGTAAGAGCAATTAAAAAAAGGAGGGTATTGGGTTGTGGCTTCCTGCTTAGCAGGTGGTTCTTCCAGGAACCCAAAGCCCTGGACCCCAATAAAGGCACAGCAGTGCGTTCCAGTAGCTGCCTCAGCAGCTGGTGAGCGTGAGTATGTGTGTGTGACTGTGTGTGAAGCACAGGGGAAGAGAGGGAGAGAGAGAGGCAGCCCTCTCCACGGACAACCTGACCTCCAGAAAAAAAGCACTGAACAGAGAGAAGGCCTGAAAGAACACACAAACTTTTGAGAGAAGCATCTCCAGGTAGGGTGAGAGGCTGCGCACGGAGTCCCTGGTGTCCTCCCTTTGGAAGAGCCTTTGCTCCCCACACAGGGCGTGCCCAAGTGAAAGGTCCTTCTGCTTCATCTGAAAAGAGCCATTTCAGCGTCGGCTCTCCTTTGGGGGATTGCACATTTCGTTCCAGGGAAGGGTGCCATTTTTCCATAGTGTACTGAAAGGGATATACTGACAGAAAACTCGACACAAAAGCAAGGGAACCCAAAGTGATAACCTTCCTTCTCTACCTTTATGATTCTTGGGCTTTGGCTCCAGTTTGGGGAAATCATGTGACCAGCTGATAAACCCCATGCTCACAGAGGCCCCATTATCCAGGCACCTGAAAGGGAAGTATTTAAAGCAAAGGACCTGGAGAGGCTGAAACTCTGGCCTCTACATTCTCAGCACTTTTACAAGACAAACACCATGGCGACTCTAGGTGAGAAGATAAAAGCTCCATAATGCAGAGAATGTGAGAATGCAGAAGCTTGTTCAAAAACCTTGTTTTGTTTAGTTTTTCATTTTATTCATTGATTTGAGAGAGAGAGAGAGATCGCTCTCTTTGTGGTCCCACCCATCTATGCATTCATTGGTTGTCTCCTGCACATGCCCTGATGCAGCCTTGGAGCATCAGGACAACACTCCCAACTGAGCAAGCTGGCCACGGCACACAGAGACTCTTAATGGTCATCAGGCACAAACAGAGAAGCCCTGTCCCTGCTCAGCTAACCCTAGACCACTCTACTAATAGAGAACCACCACCAACACCAAGCAGAGGAAGGAAGAGGACCTCACAACTGTAGAGCTAACTGTGTCCTATCAGAGCGGAAGTCCAGGTCCTGCTCTTGGCATGGGACGAGGCCACACCTGAGGGTATTAAGGTTACAGATTTGAGAGTGGGAAAACTGGGTCTGATCCCGGCTCTGCCACACTCTGCTGTCTGACCCTGGCCCAACCACTAGCCCTGTCCTGGACTCCACCTCCTCGTGTGCTATCAAGGAAACAGTAAAATTCACGACGCGGGGTGGTCATGAGACTAAGAGCAAATTATGCAGAAGGTCATCACACAGAAGAATTCTGCTTGCCCTCTTTTAGAGGATACGTACCAAAATTAGGTGTGAATCTCAAGATGTTAAAGGCCAAGGTGCATGATTATTAAAATACAGTTCTTCCATTGTCGCTGTGGCTGTAATTGCCCTGGCATTTCCCCTGTTTCCTCAGCAACCCCATTCAATTCTTTCAGCAACCCTTTGAAGAAGGTGAGGAAAGGAAAAGAATTATTTCTGTTTTACAGGGGAAAGAGAGGCGAAAAGGTTAAATGCCCTGTCAAAGGTTGCCTGGTTGGTTTGTGTGCCAGAGCCCAACTCAGTGCAACAGAACTGAATTTTCACATATCCATTATGGGTGCTATGCAGCCTGGCATCCTACAGATGAACTGTAAAGAAAAGAGAGGGAAGGGGGAGGCAGGGAGGTTAGGAGACTTCCAAGACATACCAACTGCTAATGGGTATGAGCATTCTTTCTGGGGATGATGCAAATGTTCTAAAATTAGATGATGGTGATGGTTTCACAACTCTATAAATATGCTACATAACGTTGATCTGTACACTTTTAAAAATTTTTTATTTATTGATTTTTTGAGAGAGAAAGAGAGAGGAGAACAACTATTTGTTGTTCCACTTACTGACGCATCCATTGGTTGACCCTTGTGTGTGCCCTGATGAGGATGGGACCTACGACCGTGGCGTATCGGGAGGGTGCTCTAACCAGCTGAGCTACCCAGCCAGGGCTATCTGTACACTTTAAGTAGGTAAATTTTACAGTATGGAAATTACATTTCAACAAAGCTGTTAAGAAAAAGACATCAGTTTTTTGTTCTGTTTTTGTTTTTTGAATTAGACAAAACTAAACTCTGGTGGCTAGGGATGCATAACTTTAAAGAAATGCAAGGAAGTGGCCATTATAAAAGTCAAGATTCCTTTCAGGTGGAGGGAGGGTTTTGTGATTGGGATGGACTACATGAAGGAGCCCCTGGGGTTGGGGGCAAGCTTTTATTTCTTGACCTGATAGTGTTTACCTTATAATAGTTAATTCTGCTCCACACATATTTTGTGTAGTTAGAAAACTATCTGTTCTGTTACATATAATAAAATGATTTTTAAAAATAGGAAGAGTCATGCCCTGGCTGGTGTGGCTCAGTGGATTGAGCAGCGGCCTGCAAACCAAAGAGTCACTGGTTCAATTCCCTGTCAGGGCGCATGCCTAGGTTGTGGGCCAGGTCCCTAGTAGCAGGTGCATGGGAGGCAACCACACACTGATATTTCTCTCCCTCTCTCTTCTTCCCCCCTCTCTCAAAATCAATCAATCAATCAATAAAATCTTTAGAAACAAATAGGAGGAATCAAGTACAGAATGATATATCTTGTGCTGGCCAGATCGAAAGATAGCCCTCGTGACCCCCCACCCCGTTTTGTTTTGGGGGAAAATTATGCTCAGAGACTGAATTTGTCTTTGACAGTAGTTTATTTTAACACGGCTTTGCTATGGGAGTTATAATAATTTCACAAGCCAATAGCATACAGGAAAATGTCTCTTAGTAAGCCAATAAAGAAATAACATACTCCGACCCAATGATAGATTCATTACACTATTGTCCCAAGCAAGAGGAGATGAAAGGAATAAAGTCCAAATTTAGTTGAGATGTACCTTGATAGGACTTGATACTTAAAAGAGAAGGCTTAGCCAACCAAGAGCTGCCAGGGCAAAAGTAATAGTCCCCCGTCACTAGAGCACATTGCCAGGGAACGATGGCACCAGTGTTAGGCAAGAGGATCTCCTTCCAGAGGCTGTTACAAGGCTTTTGCTGGTGAGTGTCACCTTTACCAAATGGGAGTTAATGCCCAAAAGTTAATTTAGGTCTGGAAAGGGTTGCCTTGCCTAGGCCGACATTCTCAGATATTCCCTGCAAACTCTCAGTATTGATAGTCTTTTTTTCAGTTAATATGTATTTAGCATTTAATGTACAGCTCTATAAGGAGAGAAATATATGGGGAAAAGTAAAATTAGAATCTTTCCTCATTCTGAACATTCTTAAGGAATCTGCTTTGCCACAGAGATAGCAAAGCACGTGCGCATGCGCACGAGCACGCGCACGCGAAAGCCCAGCAGTGCCACTGTTGAGGGTAAGAAACGTCAAGTTTCACTCAGTACTTGGCAGTGATGTGGACTAGGGAGGAATGGTGAGGACTTCTGAGATGTAGTTTTATTTTGGTATAACCTTAAACTTGTCTATTGCTTCTTTCCTTGAACAGCTTTATCTTCTGTTTGATAGCCAGCTACACTCAGAATTGGAAACAGTAAAATTACTTAGTGATTCCATTTGGAATTTATAACCATACAACCAAGACGTTTTGAATATAATCCTACCCATATGCCAGATAAACTTTAGGAACTCCTAGTATCTCTTCTTTTACAGAAATTCTCTTTCTATCCTGATGGAGTTTGGTTAAAGGCAAGAAAGCTAACTTCCTTAAATGAGGCAAAAAAAAGTTTTTTCAACTACAACTGTAAATAAGAAATCTCTTTTAAATACAAAATCAATTTTCTGAACTATACAATGAGTTCTAATTTGATGGTTTTTACTCTTATAATTCACTTTAAGCAGTGACCTACACAGTTTGTTTAAGCAATAATAAGTTCCTCTTCTGATTCCTTCAGAATAAAAAACAATTAAATGTGTTGAAGATACTACTAAAAATATTTCCCTTTTTGAACATGGCCTCTCCATTGCAATATACAGGAATTTTTCTAATTAACTTTCAAATCTTCCCAGAACCTCTATTTAAAAAAATATCATCTTGAAATAATTTAAATGAATGCTTTAACAAAAACTAGTTCGGAGTGCCTATTACCATAATCATCAGTTTAGACAAGTCTCCTAAATATGTTCTGCATCAATTTTCTTGATTATAAGATGTCAATAATATGGAAACATTTGTGACAGAATATCTGATTACACAGTTTCCCATCAACACACAAGCCATCTGATGATGACTATATTGGCCACTGCCCTTGGCTGGCAGGAGGCTCTTCCACTAAAGGCTCCCATTGCTTCCACTGTACCAATTTTCCCGCCAGACTTAGTCCATTTTCAGCCTGGAGAACACCTCTTCTATTTGGCCCCCCTGAAGTTGGTCTTCCAATTTTTTAACGTCTGGTTCTGCTTTAACCATATCCAGCTTCTCACTTGTAATCTGTTCTGTAGACTTCCTATATGCTGCATTTTTAGGGATTTGCTCCAGAATCCTTGTGTGCAACGTTCTTAGCCTCTGGTGCAGACTGACACACAGCCAATCCCACACGGCCAGCAGTCTTCTTCAGCAAGCCGGCCTTGGCCCCACCCACGGGCGCGTACTGGCAGCGTTTGCAGTCTAAGTGTCCTTGTGCTGTCGTGCTGTTGTTGCTGCTCCACTTGTCCTTATCAATAAACCCCCAGCAGGGCCCCTGAGCAGTCAAGCTACTGAGTGCTTATCAACAACCACAGGTGAAACCATGGCATCCTGACACAACCGACTTCATTCTTACACATCAAAACAACTTTCTTTCTAAAACCATTTTTTTGTCTTTGCCATAAACAGGGTTAAGAGAACTTCACTTAAGTCATAAACAAATGGATTTAAAATCATATCAAACCAATACTCGCCAGAAACAGAAGCCCTGTGAAAAAGTGAATGTCACCCACAACCCCGGGAGACTGGAAGCAGATCCGCCCCCAGTTGAGCCCCAGATGACACTGTGGCCCCAGCTCACACCCTGATTGCAGCTGGTGGGACCCTCTGACCCAGAGGCCTCAGCTCGGTTGTGGCTGACTCCTGACTCACTGAAGCTGAGACAGGAAATGTATGTTGCTTGAAGTCACTGTGTTTGTGCAAACATTATTACACAGAGATCCATAACATGTCCCTTGTGTTTGGGGGTCCCTAAAACGACTCTCAGGTTCAGTGATTCACCAGAACTCAGCAAAGCTTTATACATTTGGTTACAATTTATTACAATGAAAAGATACGTATTAAAACCAGTAGTAAAAAAAAGAAAGGCACATAGGGCAGGAGCTAGGAGACAGCAAAATCCTCTCCCAGTGGAGTCAGAGGAACAGTGCTTCATTCTCCCAGCAGCAGTGTGTGCCAGCGTGCGAGGAGCACTGTCAACCAGGGAATCTCACCCAGGCCGTGACATCCAGGGCTTCTAGTGGAGGAAGGCAGTCAGGTAGGCAGGCCTCGCCAACCAGGTGGCTGACCTTGGTCTCCAGCCTCTCAGGAGGTCAAGCTGGTGATACCTGCTGGCCCAAGGCCCCCAGGTAAACAACCTCTTATCAGGCAGGATATTCCAAGGGATTAGAGACTGCCTCCCAAGAGCCTGTCAAGGGCCCTTCCTTTCTCTAAAGTGCAGAATTGAACATCCCAAGCCTGCAGCGTTAACTCTTTACTGCGCATCCCTTAATGTCAGGAGTGGGATTCTTGTCAAGTTGCTATCCTGCTTGAAGGCACAGAGAGAGGACCAGAAACCCCTGTGCTTATTTAACCTTTATGCCCTTACTGGCCTTATAGTCAGAAAATTTCCAGGATGTAAACCATACAGCCAGAAGGCAGGGTGCAGGGACGAGGAGGCAGGGACTGTGCACTCCCACAGAAGCTTCTCCTGATCAGCCACCGAATAGAAGGCCAGCTTTCCCAGGTCAAGGTCCAGATAGATGCCCACCACCTTAGGTTTTTCTGAGCCGAGGACGGTTTCCTTGACCATGTGCCACACAGAGAGCTGGCTCGTTCCCTTCCACTCTAGACACGAGGAGTCCCTGGTCCTTCCCAGGATCTGGTCTCGACTCATCTCCCAGGAAGCCACGCCAACCGCCCAGTGACTGCAGTGCTGAGTGTCCACTTCCCAGTAGTGCTGCCCAGAAGAGAAGGCTTGGGAACAGAAGACCTGGCAGGTCATGAACCGGTCACGACTCCAGGAATAAGGCTGTTGGAAGTAAGACACTGTCACCTTCCGGCAATCCTCGGACACCTCCAGGCTACACGAGAGGCTCCTCAGGTCGAAGGTTGGACTGATGAACCCTGAAGAAAACATAAGACCGTGACCAGACATCTCCGATTGTCCATGCTGAAAGGTCCTCAAATAGCAAAAGTCAGCTTTGCATCTTTGGCTGTGATCCAGGTTTATTCATGCTGGCGGTGATTTGGTATGTCAACTTGCTATTCTCTGTCATTACCCCGATGTCTACTAACAATACCCCTTTCCTCCTTAATCTCCACTTACGGTTACCCTTCTTTCAGGGAGTCCTCTCTGAATCCCACCCGGCAAAAAAGTGGCCTCTTGCTTTTCTCAGCACCTCTAGTGTTTTACCTGTTTCCTAATATGTCATTTTCTACTTGTAGTACGGGAACTTATCACCATGGCTGTTTACCTCTCTCTAGCTGTACATAAGCTTCCTGATAAAGGATCATAGCTTATTCATTTTTGTGTATTTCACATTGTTTCTTGTTGAGTAAATAAATGCTAATACGTAGCATCGCTATTCTAGGCACACATTTAAACATGTCCACTCATTTAACCCTCGTGACAATCCCACGAGGGAAGTAAGTACTATTATGTCCACCTTCCAGAAGACGGAGCCGAGGCTCTGGGTGCAACTGGTCCAAGATCACACAGCTAGTGAGCACGGCAGCTGGGCGTCAAACCCAAGCGGTCTGGCTCCAGGCAGGATCCAAGCCCTCCGTGACTGCCCCAGACTGGGACAAACACCAGAACTAATCAAGTTGGGGAATGGGCAGCTGGCTGTATGAGGTGACCCCAGCATGGATGCCCACAGGCTGCCTGGGCTCTGAGTGCTCACAGGTCCAGCTTAGCCTGGTATTTGGGAACCTTTAACCCCTCTGTCTTTGTAATCCGCTCCCCACGTGGAGGGACCTAGTCTGGGGTGGGCAGGCCCAGCAAGCAAGGAGATGGACACTGCATGCTCTCACAGCTCCTCTCTGCGGCAGGCCCAACCCGGGTTTTTAGCAGACCTCGAACTTACCCCGAACAAGACAGGATGCAAGGCGGCCCTGGTCAGTCTGTAGGCATGAGGTGGAAGGCGGACTTTCCAGGATTTTAACTAGGGAATCAAAAACAATTGGGGGGGGGGAAGTCCCATTTAAAAAAAAGGCAATGGGAAAAATACAATAAAGATTAAATTTTTTAAAAAAGCTATTAAAAAAAGGCAAGTAGAAGGTATGTAAACATCGTGACCAGGGCACGCGGCTTGCCCCGTCTGCAGCGGCACGTTTCGGTGTCGGACGTGTCCAGGCAGCGCAGCCAGCTCAGGTGTGACCCGCCCCCTGCCCTCGCTGTGCGCTTCCCCATTCCTTCCTCGCTGAGCTCTGAGCTCACTGCTGGCTCCTCGTTCATCTCTGTGTTCTAAGAACCAAGCCTAGCGCCAGGTACATAGGAAGTGTTTGATGTATATTTATCAGATAAGTTAACTAATACAGTTCCAGGGGATCACAGTACCCTGACACCCAGAATATTCACGAACCCCACATCAACGCTTTAAACTGTTATAAAAACCAGGAAACGTGAGTTGGTGTGAGAGTCATCTCACCTCACTGACACCTTCTACTTCCCTCGCAATGTACTAAAGTTTAACTGCTAACTTAAAGCTGCTGTGTGCTTCCAGTGCCCGTGTACCAGGTAGACAAGGAGAAAGAAAAGGAAGTGTCAGAGTGTGGACTGTGAAGGTGAAATCTTCCCCCATTTGTAGTTTGAAGTAAGAGCAGCTTAAAGTGAACCTAAGAGTCAGATTATGAAGAGACAGAAGGCCCTGTCTCAGGTGTGGGCTGCGAGGAGACTGGAGCAGGACAGCTATCCTTCAAGACGCCATGATCAAAATTCAGCTGGGCAACACTGTTCTTATATTGAGCTGATAGGATTTTTACTTATTGTTAATCATAGTGTTAAAAAATGTTTTTAGCTGAGTCACCATGTTTTCCCCCTACTGATAGGGGACAATAAGCTACACTTTACTGGTTCTTGAAGATACTTTGAAAAAAAAAAATGACAGAAGCCCTGGCTGGTGTGGCTCAGGGGATTGAGCACTGGCCTGCAAACCAAAGAGTTGCCGGTTCGATTCCCAGTCAGGGCACATGCCTGGGATGCAGGCCAGGTCCCCAGTAGGGGGTGCACAAGAAGCAACCACACATTGATGTTTCCCTCTCTCCCTCCCTTCCTATCTCTAAAAATAAAGAAATAAAATCTTGTAAAAAATTATAGATGATGTAAATGCATAAATGTTGAGTAACTATTAAACACTGGTAACCATTAAAGAGATGAAGTTTTATGACATATTAAGTTCTCTGGATATAACCTCAATTGTTTACCCACTGGTTATGGTAGAGTTTGTAAAAGGAAAAAAAATGATGCTTCAGCAAGCAGTGGATTTTACAGAAATGATTATTATATAAATTTAATTAGTAAGGAATTTCTGTATACTAGTATCTTAAAAAATCTCATTTTCTATTAAAAGAAGAGAAGAGGCTACAGGCTTTTTCCTTTTTAAAAAGTAGCCAGGACCCCTTGGGAATATAAAATGATGCTCCACCAGGAACAGTTGTCGACAGCACTGCTCTGTTTACCTTGACTTGTTCTGCATAGAATGTGGTTTCCATGCAGCGCACGGAAAAAGGAGTCCGAAGGTCAAAGGAGTCCATTGTGATGGGGCTGTCAAATTGCCTGGCAGCTGTTAAAGCAGGGACTTGAAGAACAACTAATCTATTGTTTTAAAAATAATCTGGTGAAAATATCAGGGAATGGTGTTTCAGGAAATAGGGATATATCCAGATTCTTTGTTTTAAAAATGTTCTGGGCTGGCCCAAATAATCAAAACAACACAATCACAAAGAAAGAATATACCGTACTTGCTAAGGCACACTAACATCTTATAAGTTGAATTTAAAAAAAATACTAAAATATACCTAATTCCTCAAAAAAATTGAAAAACAGAACTGCCATATGATCCAGCAATTCCACTTCTGGGCACATATTCAGAAGAACTGGAGGCAGGATCTTGAAGAGATACTTGCACACCCACGTCCACAGCGGCCTCATTCACCACAGCCGAGAGGCGGAAGCAGCCCCCTGCCCACTGCTGGTTAAATGGACAAACAAAGGGCAGTGTGTGCGCATGGCGAATGTCAGCCCGAAGAAAGAAGGAAACTCTGACACACGCTACAGCGCGGATGACCCTTGAGAACATCATACTGAGTGAAACAAGCCAGTCACGAAAAGACAGTAACTGCACCCATATTCCACCAGATTCCACCCATATCTGGTACTAAAGCAATCAGATCAAATTCATAGAGGCTGAAAGTGGAAGGGTGGTTGCTAGGGGTTGGGGGGATGGGGAGTTACTGTTTAAATAATATAGTTTCAGTTTTTCAAAACTGGAAAGACCTGGAGCTTGGTTGCACAGCAATATGGATGTACTCAACACTACTGAACCGCACACTTAAAAACAGTTAAGGTGCTGGATTTTATGTTATGTGTGTATTACCACAATTAAAACTTGAAAAAAATTAAGTGCATACTTAAATAATGTAGAAATTGATCATTTCTTCCAAAAAATCATGTTTCTCCTGTTAAAAGAGATGCAACTTTCAATCAGGCCAACATCATTAAATATAAAAACAGGACAAAAGGGATGTCTTTGAAGTGGAGTTATGTAAACTTTATTTAAAATTCACTGGGACACATGCCAGGACACACTTCACGCGAGTCAAAGATCGAAGTGTAACATGTGAAACCAAAGATTTAAATGTAAGATATAAAGTAGGACAACAGACACACAGGGGAAAATTCCCTTCTAAACTTGGGGTGGTAAAGTTTTCTAACAAAAATGTAAAATCCAAAACCCATAGGAGAAAAGATTGGTAAAATGTATTACTTAAAAAAATAGAGAAGTATCTATGTGGTAGTCTGAAGTCTTGCCAAGCAGAACAAAGAGGCAAATGACAAATTGAGGGGCAAAATTGGCAATTTATCTCACACACAAAAGGTAAATAATCCTGCAAATTTATAAAAAAGTTCCTAAAAGCCCATTTTTAAAAGATACAACACAAGATATAAACACAATTTGTGGAGAAGTGCACATTAAAAGTATGGAACACTCATATATTACTTTTCTTAACCCATCAGATTGGCAAAAAAGAACAATCACAAAGGTCTGACCACCCATGCAGTTGGCAGCCTCTGGGGACACACATTGCTTCTGTGAGAGCAGAGATACAACCCAACAGAGGACAATTTGACAATGGATATCAAAATTACAAATGAATTTACCCTAGGATTCTGTAGCCCTTACTGGCACTTTGTCTGCACCCATATAAAATGATGTATGTACAGTTTTTAACATTGACATTGTTTGCAATTGTAAGCAATCAGCACCAGTCATGCAGCCATCAGTAGAGGATTGGGTAAACCAATGTTGGCAAGTGCATGAGCTGGAATAGCATGCAGCTATAGAAAAGAGAAAATGCTTAAGGTACCGATTCATATATGTATCAAGGTATATTAAGTAAAGAAGAAAAGCAAAATGCAGAACGGTATACGCAGTATGCTACCTTTTGTGTGAAAAAAGATTCAGAGAGCTAAGGATATAAATTCAGAGTTGCTTGTATTTGCATAAATGAATTCTGAATGGACATTCGAGAAACTAATAAATATAGTTAACTGAAAAGGGGGTAGCTGGAATTGGACAAGAGTGGGAAAGACTTTTGTTGTATGTCCTTTATATTGTTTTGATTTTTCAATTTAAACATTAATTTTAAAATTTTAAGTTCAAAGCTATACGTTGAATTTTAAAATTAATTTAAAACTCATATGAATAAATAAAATCACTAAGGAACCTAAATTCAGGAGTACACAGGAGTCAAGAGGGCACTTATTTCTCAGATCATTTTTGTAACAAGAAATAAACTGTGCTTACTTGGTTTCCCAAAGAAAATTTTTCCAAGGGATCATGCTTCTCCACTTAAATAAGGAATGACTTTTTAAGCAGAGCAAGTTCATTTACATTTTTTAAAAAGCTGTGAGAGATATGTCTCTAAAGTGTATAAAGCTGGCAGTGGCCAGAGCAGGGGGCAGAGCCGAGGGGAACCAGAGCTGACATCCACGGGACGGTGTTCGTTGCTTCTCCCTAATGACCGACTAGGGGAACAACAGGGGACCTACAGAGTCAGGACAGAAGGGTGCTTGTCTACACTGTTACTGTTCAGTAGTAACAAACTCTCCAGAGATTACATTTTAATAGAATCAATCAAGAACTTCTTACAAAGTTGCATGTTTGTTCATACCTTCACTGGTTAAAAATAAAAAGCATCCTATTTCTGAATCTCCTTCGACAGGTAACACAGATGAGTGATAAGTGAGCCAAATCTGGTGCAGATTCCGGATTTATTTATAGGTCTTAGAAAATAAGTTTCTATCGCTTCAAGGGCCTGTGTTACTTTACACCTCCAGTCACTCCCCAAAACACAGCCAGCCACGAAATACCTCAGCCCGTTCCTTCCTTATTTACAACACCACAGCGACAATGCCACTGGGTTCTGGGATCACATCCCCCCAAAAAACAAATCCATGGAACACTCTACGACTTCCACCCAACCCATGTATTTAATCCTCCCCTCCAAATAAATCAGCTCACCCTGCCTTTGTTCTTCCAGGCACTCTTTACCCAGGAAGTTCTCCTGTAATTTTCCCCGGATATCTTCTAGGTCATGCAGAATGTCTCTCATTCTTTTCTCCGTCGTGCCGGAAGCCACTAGCTTCGGAGAAGCCAAGGAATGGTCTGCCTGTCAATGAAACATTTTTTTAGAAAATGATGAAAGTCTCCTCAGGAATACACCAAATAGTATATTCCAGTTCTGCAACCATTATATAATTTTCCACTCATATCCTAACAAGTTTTTAAAAACATAATTAGGCCCTGACTGGTGTGGCTCAGTGGGCTGGGCATCATCCTGTAAACTGAAAGGTCACTGGTTCAATTCCCAGTCAGGGGAAATGCCTGGGTTGCAGGCATGGTCCCCAGTTGGGGCACACACAGGGAGCAACTGATCAGTGTTTCTCTCCTTTTTCTCTCTCCCTTCCCTTCTCTCTAAAACTGACTGACTGACTGACTAACTAACTAACTAAATAAATAAATGTTTTAAAAACCCCACATAATAGGCCCTCAGATTATATGCCTTGAAAACAATCTGGAATAACACATAGTGCAGCAAAAATATTAAAGAGCAATGGGGTTATGGATGATTTTCACTTATTTTCTTTCAACTGCTATGTATTTTCTAGTACTTCATATAACAAATATTAATTTCTTAAGCAATGCTGAAAAAAGTTAAAAGTTGTTAGGTCCGTATAATAGCGGCTTCACAAAATAAACAACACAGACGGCAAGCCGCTGAGACGAGCTCCACAGGTGAGACCGACTGCCCTGAGACCGCGGTCGTCATATCCGTATGGTGCCGCCTCTCCAGAGCCAGCAGGAGCCTGTTGTCTGCGCCAGCCCGCTCGCCAGAGCCTCCAGCGCATGCTCACCGATTTTCTTTGACCCCAGGTCCTCTTAGTCCCCAACACAGCCTCCCATCTGCTCCTTCCCACCTGCAGCCCCGGACTTTCCTGCCCGACTTCCCATCCACCGTTTCCCCTTTCTCCCACCAATCCTAACAGTAATAGGCACCAGTTACTGACTGCCTTCCACTGCTCACTTCTAATTTGCATAACAACCTTTCGAGGTAGGTTTATTGTCCCCATTTTGCAAAAGAAGCTAGAGTTCATGAAGTTGAACTAAAAATTGCCATGGTTAATTTTATTGTTCTACATTTCACATTGCTAAAGCACTTCCTTATACAAAATCCCTTTTAATCCCCACATCAGACTAATTAATCTCCTTATTCCTGTTTTACAGATAGGAACCTGAGGCTCAGAAAGGTGAAATGACTTGCCCAAGGTCATAACACGGGTGAGTGGCAAGACCAGGTCTGAAAGTCAGACTCTCAGACTGACCTTCCACCCCGCACACTGCATCCCATGTTTGCTGGCGTTCAGTGGGAAGTGTCTAGCGCTGTTCTAGACCCGGGGCTACCAAGGTGAACAAAAGAACAAAAGCCATCAAGGTCTCTTCCCTCCTGAAGCTTTCAGTCCAGTGCAGGAGAAGAGGAAGGACAGACGTTAATGAATTGTGGCACTGATTATTAGCAAGTTGCAGCTGAGACAGCTGCTATACATGAAAGGTACATGAAATCATGAGAGCCCCTAATAGGGGGATTTGACTCATTGAAGGAAATCAGTGAAGGGTTCTCCAAGAAACTGGTGATCTAGTTGGGCCCTGAAGGATGAGCAGGCATTACTGGGTGACAGGTGAAAGAAGAACATTCCATGCAGTGTGCTCTGTAGTGGGAAAATGTGGGACAACACCCTGCAGGGAGTGACATGGGCCTGTGTGGCTGGAATTTGAAGAGCCAGGAAGAGCCAGGTGAACTGAGATGGGAGACACGTTGATTCTGTGAGGGGGGGCGGGTTCTTAATCCCACCCAGACAGCTGTCACTGGAGCCTGCTAAGCAGATGAGTTACAGGATCAGATTTGTGTTTAAGAAGGTCACTCTGATGACCACAAGGACAGCAGACTAGAGAGTGGAGCAATTAGGAGGCTGCTGTAGCAAAATCCAGGCGAGAATGGTCATAAACTTGGATTAGAGAAGTGTCAAAGGAGGGATGTTTCATCAGGTGAGGGAGGAGGGGACATGATTCCCAGATTTCTGGCTTGCGCCAGAAGAGTAACAGTGCTGGGAAGGTGGGGAATTCCAGAGAAGGAACGGTTTGGGGCATGTTAAAGTGATGTGCCTTTGAGATGCCAAGGGGAACATACGAGAAGGAAGACACCAGACTAGGGCTTGGGCAGTGGCCAGGATGGAGCTCTGTTTGTGCTAATGAAAGCCATGGTGTGGGGAGGAGAAAGGGACCCACAGCTCAGCCTTGAGGAACCCCAGCATTTCGCTGCTAAGCAGGGGAGAGTGAGCCTGCAAATCAGACGGAAAAGGCACAGCCAGAAAGAAACAGGGGAAGGCTGGAAGACGCGTGTCGCAGAAGCAGAGGGAAAAGAAAGCTTCAAGAGTGAAGGTGGGGTCCAACCATGCTAAAGGCTGCCGAGAGGACTAGCCTATCTGCAGGGTTTACATAGAGGCCACAGGAGAGCTTAGAGCTGGTTGGATGGAGTGATAAGGATGGAACCTGGGCCACTTGAAGCTTTCCCAGCTCACCTCAAGCATTCCAAACTTCCAGCCATCCCGCTGGGCGGTAAAGAGAATGGTAAAAGATTGAGACTTAGTGCATCCTTCCACTGCAAACATATTCATGTTGCTCCAGGTGGAAGCTGTCCCTAGCCCTGCCCACAATGCCCCCCGCGCCCCCGCCCCCGCCAACAACCTTTCCCTCCCAGGTGAGCCTACCGTGCCCGGGATGTTCAGTTTATTGTCTGGTCCAGAGTCTGGGAGCTGTGTCTGACTTTGAAGGCTCCTGACAATGTCTACAAGCTGTTCCGCCAGCTTTGCCAGCTCCTGACCTACTTCTGTGATGTTCCTTGGTGCTGTCACCTTTAAAAGAGCAAAGCAGAACACAAAGCTGGACACAGGAACCAGCTCTAGACAGAGGGTAAAGACTGGATAACAGAGCAAGCAAGGGAGTGACAGAAATATTCAGAGGACAAGGAGGTAGGCTCCCCAAACCTTTTGCACACCCATTTCCCTTAATGATCGTCCAGTAGCCATAACAGGAAACCAGAGTCCATCTGTCAGGACCCAGGCGAGGGGATGGAAGTGTGACTCGAAGCCTAGGGGTCACTACGAACAGAGAAAGTCAGAGAAGAAATGGGTATGAGCCTGGACATTTGGCAGGGTAGGTGGCAGCTGATAAAGTGAGTGGTGCAGTGGAAGGCATTTGGCTCAGGTTTAAGCTCCTCTCTGGCCTCTGACTCATCCCATATCCACCCACTCCTTTCAAAAGTGAAAGTGCCCATCCCTCCCTCTCAGAACTCCACAGGGAAAGGATCCACCTAACTGTTCACAGTGAAAGGACCTTGGAGACTCTAAAGTGATGGTAACACTGTTTGCTCTGAAATCTCCAGGCCCTCTCCTAAACATCCAAGCAGCCAGAACTCTGGAGTGGACCCCTTATCCAGGCACCTGAGCAAATTAAAAACTTAAAAAAAAATAACTGCATTGCTTTTTCTGTCTGTAAGAGAAATGCACACTTACCATGGCAAATTAAGTAAATCCAGAAAACGAAAAAGAAGGAAAGTCCTACCCTCCAAAGACCATCATTTTAATGCAGAAGCCAATGCAAAGTATATTCAATCACTCTAAAGTCTATCAACAAAGAGTTTTAAGAACTGGAGGGATAATGCTATATATGTGACTTAAAGTAGAGAACAGGCTTTATTCATAATTGCAAAGAAAATGGAAGCAACCGATATGTCCATCAGAAGGTGAATAGAGGAAATACTGTTCAGCAATAAAAAGAAATGAGCTATGCCACAACACTTCATTTTGCTTTGTGGAAGAAGCCAGTGTGAAAAGGCTAGACACCGTATGATTCCAACTACATGGCGTTCTGGAAAAGGCAAAACTAGAGAGATAGTAAACAGATCAGTAGGTGCCAGAGCTAGGGTCAGGGGTGCACATAGGAGGCGTGCAGGGAGTTCTCAGGGTAGTAAAACCGTATGACTACTCAAATTGTACATACATGACCTCGAACACTTGTCCAAAGCCACAGAACTGTACAACACGAAGAGTGAACCCTAATGTCAACTATGGATTTTAGTCAATAACAATGTATGAATATTGGTTCATCAATTGTAACAAACGTCCCACAGTAATGCAAGGTGTTAATAACAGGGGAAACTGTTCAGGATATATAAGGACTTCCTGTACTATCTACTCAATTTTCTGTAAATCTAGAACTGCTCTAAAAATTAAAGTCTATTAATTCATTTTTTAATAAAGAAGACATAACCTGGCTAAACAAGATAACCTCAACTCTGTTTAAAAGGACTTCAGAGAGCCCTGGCTGGATGGCTTAGTTGGTTGGAGCACCATCCTGTGCACCAAAAGTTTGTGGGTTTGATCCCCAGTCAGAGCACGTGCCTGGGATGCGGGTTCCATCCCTGGTCGGGGTGCGTATGTTTCTCTCTTCCTCTCTCTCTCTCAAATCAATAAACATATCCTTGGGTGAAGATTAAAACAAACAAACAAACAAACAAACAAACAAAAAAGGACTCCAGAGAACAACAAAAGGGTGGTATAAGCAGCTCCAAGCTCTCAACACCCACACCCCTTCCTGGGCCCCACAGAAACACTGGAAAACAAGCAGAAACAAACTGCCAGAACAAACTTTGTCAAAACTCTGGAAAACACTGAATCAAAAAAAGAGCAACCTGGCAGTAGAAAAGCTTGCAGTGTTTTCCCTTGCCCTTCCCCACTCCCTCCCTGACTCAGTGACAGCATTGAAGATTCCCAGCCTGGGGCCCGCTGTGGTCCTGGTTCTGGAAGGAGCAGAGCAGACCTTATTCGCAAATGGTCATGTGTGTCTGTTCTACGCTGGCTGGGGGCTGCCAGGAGGAATGGCACAGGATGTTCATCTTTGCTTCGCCTGACTTGGGGCTCAGGCCAGAAAGGCAGGCGGTAGGGCATGGCTCACAAATGCTGCAAGCTGAACGGAACTTGCAGATGTCTGGGGCGAAAGATTACAGTTGAAACCCCTAAGTCCCAGGAGCAAAAGCTGGGGAAAACCGACCCCTCCTACTTTGTTGGTGGGAATATAAAATGGTATAGCTGCTGTGGATTACAGTTTGGCTATTACTCAGTAAGTTAAACATAGAGTTACACTATGACCCAGCAAATACAGTCCTAGGTGTTGACCCAAAAGAAATGAAAATAGGGACTCGGATACTTGTGTACCAGTGTTCACTGCCACATCACTCACAATATCAAAAGGTGGAAACAATCCGTATGTCCATGGATGCATGAGTGGATTTTTAAGAAATGTGGTACATACAAACAAAAGAATATTATTCAGCCACAGAGAGGGATGAAGTTTGGACACAGGGCACATACATCGTGAACGAAACTTGAAAACTTGGTAAGTGAAAGAAGATAGACACAAAGGGACAGATGTATGATTCCACTTATATGAAATATCTAGAGAAGGCAAATTCATAGAGGCAGTGAGTAGATTATAAGTTACCAGAGGCTAACTTCTAATTAGGCGGGGGAGAATGCAAGTTACTGCGTAGTGGGTACAGAGATTCTGTTTGCAGTGATGAAAATGTTCTGGAAACAGTGGTGATGATTGCATGACATTGTAAACATAACCAAAGCCACTAGATTATACACTTAAAAATGGCTAACATGGCAAAATTTGTTATATATATTTTACCACACTAAAAATGTTCTTAGGGACTTCCGGCAAGATGGAGGAATAGGTGGACGCACCGTACCTCCTCGCACAACCAAGATTAGAACAACAATAATTTACAGATAGAATAACACTCAGAACTGATAGAGGATTTATTTGAATGGAAGTCAGACAGCCAAGAAGTTGAAGTAGACCCGTTCATCCAGACTGGTAGGAGAAGACGAACTGGGCGGGCACGGGGCTGGTGCAGGTCAGCGGCGCGCAGAGGTCGGGGAAAATTTGGCGCGAAATCGGCGCGACAGCCAACCGGGGCGCAAGAATGCAGCGGTGATCTCTGAGTACACAAGCTGCGGCTGGCGGACCCAGTGAGGCAGCAATTGTGGACCAGGGCAGAGCTCGCAGCCCAGGATCCCAGAGAAGGGTCTGAGCCCAGAAGAATGGAACTACCGCCTTTGTTCCCTCCCGTCCCCACTCCCGCCCCCGCCCCCACATATAATGTCACAATCTAGCGACTGGGGTGCCCAGCCCCGGTGAACACCTAAGGCTCCGCACCCCACTGTAACAGGAGCAACCAGACCAAAAAAGAGAGAGAGAGAGAGAGAGAGAGAGAGATGGCTCAAATAGAAGAACAAATCAGTGCCCCAGAACTCATCCTTTTGAGTGACCAAGAAATAGCCAATCTATCAGATGCACAGTTCAAAACACTGGTGATCAGAAAGCTCACGGAATTGGTTGATTTTGGGCGCAATTTAGATGAAAGGATGCAGGTTACCATAAAAGAGATGCAGCAAGATACACAGAGGAGAGCCAATAGTGAAAGAAAGGAATCTGAGTCTCAAAACAATACAGTGGACCAGAAGGAAGATAGAATCAACCAAGCAGGAAAGCATGATGAAATAAGAATTCAAAAAATCGAGGAAAAGCTTAAGAGCATCCAGGACACCTTTAAATGTTCCAACATCCGAATTATAGGGGTACCAGAATGGGAAGGGGAAAAGCAACAAATTGAGCACGTATTTGAACAAATAATAAAGGAGAACTTCTCCATTCTGGCAAAGGAAATAGACTTCCAGGAAATCCAGGAAGCTCAGAGAGCCCCAAAGAAGTTGGACCCAAGAAGAAACACCAAGGCACATCATATTTACATTAGCCAAGGTAAAAACAAAGGAGAGAATCCTAGAAGCAGCAACAGATAAGGGGACAGTAACCTACAAAGGAGTTCCCATCAGACTGTCAGCTGATTTCTCCAAAGAGACCTTACAGGCAAGAAGGGGCTGGAAAGAAATATCCCAAGTCATGAAAGACAAGGACCTACATCCCAGATTGCTCTATCCAGCAAAGCTCTCATTTAGAATGGAAGGGCAGATAAAGTGCTTTTCAGATAAGGTCAAGTTAAAGGAGTTCATCATCACCAAGCCCTTATTTTATGAAATGCTAAAGGGACTTATCTAAGAAAAGAAGATAAAGAAAAGACATGTATAGTGAAAGGTCAGCAAACTCACAATTATTAACAACCACACCTAAAGCAAAACCAAAAGAAACTAAGTAAACAAGTAGAACAGGAACAGAACCACAGAAATGGAAGGCACATGGAGGGCTAGCAGCAGGGGGGTGGGAGGAGGAGAGAGGGGGAAAAGGTATAGAGAATAAGTAGCATAGAATATAGGTTGAAAATAGATAGGGGGAGGGTAAGAATAGTACTGGAAATGTAGAAGCTAAAGAACTCATAAGTATGACACATGGACATGAACTAAAGGGGGGAAACGTGGGTGGGAGAGGGGGTACAGGGTGGAGGGGGAGAAGGGGGGGAAATGAGACAACTGTAATAGCATAATCAATAAAATACAATAAAAAATAAAACACTGCTTCCCTATGGACATCTCTTTCAAGTAATACAGTTTGGATTCTGCCCAGTTTGGAATTGCCTCACTGGTGGGAGGGGAGGGGGGAAGGACAGGGAAAAAAAATAAACAAACAAACAAACAAAAAGTTCTTAGACAGACAGTGGAAAGACTGGAAAGAAGTATAACTGTGTCAAGGAGTAGAGCAACGAGGTTGACAGAATTTCAGATTTGATTTTTTTTCCCTGCTTCTTCATACTTTTCTGAAGTTTCCAAAAGGGCAGGTTCTACTTTTAGATGGAGAAAAGTAATTTGAAAGTAGAAAGGATGAGGGAGGAAGAGCGATGGAGGGGAAGGAACGGGTCGGGCGATAGAGGAGAGCCGGAGTCGCTACCCTACCGACTGCGGCGCGGCGCGGCCTGGGGGCTGCGGGGCGGGTCCGGGGGCGGGGCTCGGGGTCTGGCCCGCGGCGCCCTCCTCCTCGCCCACCGCCCGGCTGTACTTGATCGCCAGGTCTTGCAGCAGTGTGTTCTTGCGCAGCTGTAGCGGCTGCGCGCTGCCCTCCCGGCAGGTGGGACACGACCAGGAGGGCCCTGCGCCCCACAGGCGCTTCAAGCAACCTCGGCAGAAGCTGTGGCCGCAGGGCAACGTGACGGGCCAGGCGAGTAGCCCGTGGCAGATGATGCAACCCAGGTCATCCTCGGCCAGCCACACGGGAACGGTCAGGCCGCTGTCCAGGCCAGCCATGGTAATCGGGCCGCCGCCCGGAAGCAAGACCACACCGGGGACCGCCCCCCCGCAGCTACGTCTCCTCCGGCTCCTCCCTAGCTCTTCCTCTGCCCTGCTCTCTCTGCCTCTTTCTCTCCTCTTAGCAGTCCTCGCTTCTTTCCTTTCTCCCGTCCTGCAGAAAGCTGACTTGCAAGACCCGCCGCCCAGCGCACGGCGCCCCCTTTGCAGAGGGGGCGCCACCGCAGCCCCCTGCGCTGGGAAATCAGCTGACCCCAAACCATCAGGAGCCCGCTGGGACTCCACAGATTTCCTCTAGCTCGATGTCCCCTCATTGAAATGCAACCCCGACAACACTTGGGAGAAGAAAAAGGATTCAATTTCAGATTCTTTTAAAAGAATTCGTCCGCTAGGTGTCATCAGCCCCAGAACAAGCAGTAAGGGATTGAAGAACACCCAGCGCACCAAGCTAGGAAGCTCTTTAAAAATACCACTGTTTGGGCTCCGCTCCCAGAAGGTTTGGGAAGGAGGCCGGCCACGGGTAGTTTAAAAAATCTCCCCCAAATGAGCCAAACATTAAAAGCCGAGTGACCCTAGACTTAAAATCGCTATTACAATGCAGGCTTGTCCGGCTGTCTCCTTACTGCACACTGCTGGCGTGTTACCTAAGCGTGTCACAACCAGAAAACCGCTGGAGCTGGAAGAGCATCAAATCCTCTCCGAAGACCCGAAGAGGCGAAGGAGCTTCCAGGCCCACATGACAATAACTGGCAGAGACCAGAACCCATTTGGCTCTGATCTGTTGAAATGAATTAACAATGTCTTATATTTTACCCTTATCTTACATGGTCTCAAAGTAGGTACCATATACTACAAATTTGTGGCTATTTCCAATACTGGAAATGACAAGGAGTAGTCAATAAAACTTAACCTATTAGCTGTGCTCACCTAAGTTTCCAAATCTTGCCCTTTCCAAACCTTGTACCTGATAGGATTGGCACTTCTCTGACCCACTTGAAACATGCAGAAACAATACTTGTGAACTTCCCATCTTCTTAAAAGCTAGTGAGTATCATGGTATCTCTTTCTGCCAGCTGTCCTGACTATGGAGATGAAACCATCATCTGGTGGCCAGGGTCTCAGCGGCGAAGATGAGCAACCCCCTGCCAACCCACACTAGGACAAGCGGTAAGGAGAGAAACAAACTTGAGATGTGTTAAGTTAACTGAGATTTAGTGGGTGTGGCAGCACAACCTGGCCTATCCCAACCGCTGAACAACTCAGTGGTTAGGAACACCAGTGACCCCTGGGCAGTCAAAAAGCCCAGGTGTAACTTTTGACTTACCCCAAACTTAGTTGTCCCTCAGTATCCATGGAGGGGAGGAGGGTTGGTTCCAGGACCCCTGTGGATACGAAAATCCACAGACACTCGAGTCTCCTGTGTAAAATGGCTTAGATCAATGTGTGCAGTTGGCCCTCTGCATCTGCAGACTCCCAGGAAGGAAAACATGCAAGTGGATCCCAGCAGTTCAAACCCATACTGTGCAAGGGTCAGCTCTATGGCCTGGGTTTAGTTCCAGGGTCTCCTCATTGGGAGCGAACTCACGGCTTCTTTGCCCTGCTCTTTTCTGAAAAACAGGTGTGATACCTACCAAACACGTGGTCAAATCTTCTGTCTTAAAAAGTAAAATTTCCTCTGCTATGGGCCTCCCTCTAGCTATCTCTCCTCTTCTCCATTACACACCTGTGCTTTTTCAGAAAGTGGATGAACCAGTGATCTTCCAACTTTTTTCTTGGACACCTCCTAAAAGTTTTAGGCAAAAACATGCAGGAAAGGTAGGAGTAATCAGCCCTTGCTATAAAAATCATGAACAAGTTTTTCATTTACATCAGAAATCTTACTATTCTTTCATCTTCATGAGCCTGTATTTCCATTGCTCTTTCTCCACAGCACTATATTCTAAGGTAATATATGCATAGAAGCCTTTTATAATGTTCTAATCACTTTTATCACTTTGTATTAATTCTCAGAAGCAAAAATATGTAAACATATTGAAATTTTAAATCTGTTTTACTTATGACAAAAAGCCTCTTGTGAAATTTTTCTTTCAGATCAGATTGTCACTACAATTATTATTAGGTGTTAATCAAAACAGAAATACATTGTAAATGTATATAAATAATTGCTAAACAAAAAGTAAAAATATTATTGGAATTATAGCTCTATGACATGGATGGGCTGGTTCTTTTTCAAATGCATTTATCTGTGGATAAACAATAATTTTTGTTCCCTGGTTTGAGATGTAATTGACATATAACACTGTGTAAGCTTATGGTGTATATCATGACGATTTGATATCATACGTATTGCAAAATGATTACCACACAAAGGTTAGCAAACACCTCCATCACCTCACATAACTACCTTTGGGGGATGAGGGTAGTGTGAGAACATTGAAGCTACTCCTCATGCCCTGGCTGGTGTGGCTCAGTGGATTGATTGCCAGCCTGTGAATCCAAAGGTCACTGGTTTGATTCTCAGCCAAGGCACATGCCTGGGTTGTAGGCGAGGTCTCCAGTTGGGGGCATGCGGGAGGCAACCAAACTATGTTTCTCTCACACATCCATGTTTCTCTCCCTCTTTTTCTCCCTTCCTTCCCTTCTCTCCAATCATTTATAAATAAAATCTATTTAAAAAATAAAAATCTGAGGCTACAGATTTAACTCATTTAATTTATGCAAAAATTTGCCACATAACCTAATTGGCAAGACCAGTTCTCACAGTCAAACCAGTCTGTCAAATCAGACTCATTTTCTGTCAGAGAGTCTGACATCATTGTTAAATTCAAGTAAGTTTTTTTTTAAATATTTTATTATTCTTAGAGAGAGGAGAAGGGAGGGATAAAAAGAGGAAGAGAAACATCAATCAGTTGTCTCAGACCTGCAACCAAGGCACGTGCACTGACCGGGAATTGAACCTGCAGCCTTTTGCTTTATGGGCTGATGACCAACCCACTGAGCTATACCATCCAGGCTCAAGCAGGTGTGTTAATACACATACCGGTGGCACTGGGTTCTAATGCTGTTAGGTGAGTGAGGACAAGGTCCTTGAGTTTGTGCACTGAATGAAATAAGGTGCAACTTTCCTTAACATCTACTAGTGCTTTCTTTGCTTTGCTCTTACTGGATTCTCTCAGAGATGAAGCATATCTTGTCAGGGGAAGAAAGACTTGTTAAATATACATCATTCTTACTTCTACTCCACTTTATAATATATGAATTCAAAACATTCAACCATAAGTCAAACGAAACACCCAACTTTTAATGCCAAACGTTGTCACCAATAAAAATCTGCAGAAATTAAAGGAATGTAATAAACCTTGACCTTGATGCCTTCATTAAAGAAGGATTCACTGGGCCCTGATGATTGGGTGTGGCTCAGTTGGTTGGGCATGGCCCTGCAAAGCCAAAGTTCGCCAGTTCAATTCCCGATCAGGGTACACATCTAGGTTGTGGGCTCAGTCCCCAGCTGGGGCACGTATGAGAGGCAACCCATTGATGTTTCTCTCTCACATTGATGTTACTCTCCCTCCCCATCTTTCTAAAAACAAATAAATAGAATCTTTTTTTAAAAAAAGAAGGCTTCATTGACACTGTGAAGAGAATGAAAGGTTTGGGGGAAAATATTTGCATATCCCATGTCAATATCTGCACCTATGTCTGTCAAAAGACTGGTATCCAGTGTGCATAAAGAACTCTCAAAAATCAACAATAAGAAAACATACCATCCAATGAAAAACATGAACAATGACACAAACCATCACTTCTCCAAAGAAGATGTAAGGTTGGCAGATAAGCACATGGAAAGATATTCAACATGAGAGCCACTAGGGAAATGCAAATGAAAACCATGGAAATAGCATGGTACACCTATTCAAACTGTTAAAGTTAAAAATACTGACAACACCAAGTGCTGGTGAAGATGCAAAGTAACTGAACCTTCATACATTGCTTGTGGACATGTGAAACGGTACAGCTACTCTGAAAAACAGTTTGGCCATTTGTTATAAAGCTAAACATATACCCACCACATGACCTAGCAACCCCAATCTTGGATATTGTCACCTGTATCAATAATTCCCTCCTTTTCATCTATGAATACTATTCCACTGGATAAACGAATATGGTATATCCATACAATGGATTACTACACAACAGAAGAAATGAAAGAATTATTGATACATGCAATGACTTGGATGAATAGCAATCACACACAGAGTGAAAGAAGCCAGTCTCAGAAGATTACATACTGAATGATTTCCATTATATGACATCCTCAACAGTATAAATCTGTACTGATGAAGAGGTCAGTGGTTGCCAGGGGGCAGGGAATGGCTGTGTCTACAAAGAATGCAAAGGAGGTTTTGAGGTGCTATAACTGGTCTTCATTTTGATTATGGTAGATTACATGAATCCACACATGCATTGAATATTAAACTTTATAGAACAGTACATAGAGTCCATTTTTACTATTTAATGTAAAAACTAAAATTGTTTCAAGGCTTAATTTTTACTAGTATTTCAATTTGTTTCTTTCTTTGGCATCGTACTACTTTTTAAGCCTCAGAGCAAGGCACTCTGTTAACCATATTTGGGATGAGTGAGAGGTGTTCCTTTCTTTTCCAAATAGGAAAAGGATGTGTAGGAAAGACAGGTGGGGAAGAAGAGCTGGCGTGCTGCCTCAGACATGGGTCCGCAGTCGCACATCATTGTGCTGTTCTGGCTCTACTGCAATGGCCTCCTGGCTGGCCTGTGTTCTGCCTGTGCTCTGCATCGCTGCACTGCCTTTCTGCAGTTCAGATCTGCTTCCTTGCTTCATGTCATCAGTCCAGACACCTTTGAATGGTTGATAAAGCCTGGTCTGCTGCCAGTCTCTTCAGTCGTGTCAGCAGTTGTGCTCTCTCTCTCTCTCTCTCATGCTCTCTTCTGTGTTTAGCTAGAAGTTTCTCATTTTTATTGATCTTAAAAAAATACACTTATGGCTTTGCTCATTTTCTGTATTATTT